CTCTCTCTCTCTCTCTCTCTCTCTCTCTCTCTCTCTCTCTCTCTCTCTCTCTCGTCTTTCCTTCCCGCATCAATGAGAGCCTGTAACCATGGCTCTGGGGTAATGCGAAAGAACAGCGCTGACCCCAGGAGGACATTGCCAAGGGAGCGCCTCACTCCTCCTTGCACTCGTAGACTTGCCCATGTTTTCCTGCCGTTTGACTTTGTGGTAGAGCTCTTAGGCTTTGCTTTTTCCCGCTGACTTAGTACTTAAAACAAATGGATTCTTCAGAGGTATGAACAGATAAGGGTAAAATTATACATGCAGGCAGGGTCTCCTCATGAGAACACTAGTGCAATATTGGGCAGATCTGTTTCTTAGACGCCTCATTCTCTGAGGGTACATTCTGATGGATTAAACGGTAATTGTCTTCTCTCTGTTCTCCCACAGGGAAACTATGTGTCTGCACGAGCTTATTATGAGAAAGCCTTACAGCTGGTTCCAGACAGCAAACTGCTGAAGGAAAATCTCGCCAAATTAGATCGCCTAGAAAAACGATTGCAGGAAGTTCGAGACAAGGATCAAACATCATAGCGTTCGGAGCCCGTCTTGTAGGACACTGCTGTTACCTGGAAAAGGAGACGGTGATGGAAGCCTTTCTTTCGCAGCTCCAGGGCGCAAAGGAAGCTTTCTTCTCACCGCTGGCTCTAGGTGGCAGTTTTGGGGACCCCTGCTGGTGCTGAGGGACTGGCCTTTCCATGAAAGGAGACCCAAAAAGCCAGCAAGGAGGCCGGCAAGCAGACCAAGGACACATTTTACAAATTTTCGCTTGGTTCAACGTCCGCTTTTCATTCATACAATTATGTCTCTGCTTTTACTACCTGGAGACCTCAGTCCACCTCTCAGTTTAGTCTTCATGCCTCAGATACAAAAGCTGGGAAGGCTGGGAGGCAGAGTAGACATTTTTTATGGGACCAGGTCATTCCCAGGGGGTACATTCTCTAGGGTACCCCATCCACGAAATTATACCAAGAGGTAACTCATTTAAGCCTCCCGAACCAGAAACGAGTGTCTTTGTAGAGCCTTCTGGAAGATGTGGAGAGAGGGCTATTGTTGAGTTTGTCTACTGTTTCCCTGAGGACATTGCTAGAGCCCTGTTAACGAGTAAACGAACCTCCATGCTGATGCAAGCCTTCCCACTGACTACTATGTCAAAAGGGGATCTTCTAGAAGAACGTGTCCGGACATTGATATCCTTGTCCCTAAGGGAAAAAATCAAGGGGCTTAGTCCTCTAATCCTTTTTGGAAATATTTAAAATTAACTTTATTGTAAGAATTACCAGAGTAGTGGTTTTGCTCTAAGAATTCAAAAGTGCTTTTAATGTCATCAATGTTCCTGCCTCCAGATATATTATTTTGGTGGATTAAAAAAAGATAGTATATTCTACAAGAAAATATTAAAGATATTAACTCCGAGAAATGTCCTACTTTATTATCTTAATGTTAAGATATGAGGTTATTATTTTATTGAAGAATGTATTTAACCACTGAGGAGTCTCTGCAGTCTATCAGAAATGTTCACGGACTCTAGGGGAAAGCGAGCTCTATTTATGCGTCTTCCCTGACCGAAGAAGAGGAATTCTCTACTTAGGAAATGGATGGTTGGAGCACAGAACTCTTGATGCTGTCCTTTTAATTTGAGGAATTTTATGGAAAATGCTCAAAGAATTTAAGGGGAAAATCTAAATTCATTATTAAAATAGACATATATTTCTATTTAAAAGGTAAGGAAGGCAAAGTTGAACTTATAATTGGGGCATTTATTTTTTAGTATTTATTTCTTAACTTATAAAATATTTAATATATACATACGTACATTTTTCTTTGTTTATTTTCTTTGTACAAACTTTCAACATGGTCACATAAGTGTATATCTCCATTACAAAGTAGCTCAGTTTAAAACAGCTCCTCACAAAACTAGTAGTGGTTATTTTCTTGTTGGGTTTAAAGAAATGCCTGGAATATGTTTGGGAAGGGCAGGAACTGGGTGGGACACTTTGGCCCTCCTGGCAATAGGCATAACCACACTGCTGGTCCGAGGGGGGGGGTGGGGGCTATCTTATAAGAGGCCTGAAGACCTATGCATTTCCTGTGTTCTGACCATTGCAGGGTAAAAATCCTTCTTTCACCCAGTGTCAGTAAGGACTGTCTATAAATTCATATATGTTCATTATGAGGAGACTAAAAAAAAAGAAGAGAAATGTCTTTGGGGATGCAAATGCAGAAGATTACGATGTTTGAATGCGCGTGCATGTATTTGTTTCTTTCTTTAGTATATATATCACCTTGATGGGTTCTGCCTGGCATAGCCTTTCCATGTATCCTAAATATCTCATACTTATTTGAGCTATTTTTTTCTCTCTTCCCACCCGCACTCCAAAGCAAATTGCACTCTAATCCTCGAGCCAATAAATGTATTGTCCTGTTTATTGCAACATTATGACTCCCTCCACCCAACTCCAGTGGGAAAACAGGAAACCCTAGGAATACATTGCAGCTGCTCCGGGGAGGAAAGAGCAAGCTGACCGCTTCTATAAGGACTGAAGTATCGGAAGCCCAAAGGGGCAGTTCTCCTCTGTTCTGAGGGTCTGGGGCAGAAGTGGCCCAATGGCAGTGAGTTTTGATGGCTAGGGTTACTCGGAGAGTTCCCCCTGCACACCTTTCCCTGTTGCAGGCCCAGGTCTGCCCCCCTCTTTCCCGGTCCTCTCTAATTCTAGTTCTCGGAGCCTTCAAGACTCCATTGCGGCTTTGATGAATATTTTGACATACAAGCCATGGGAATGGCTTTAGAAGCTCACTGTCGGTGACAGAAATACTCATTTCAGAAGATTTCACAAACCAAGAATAACTGTCAGTGACCTTTTCTTCTTAGCAGTGTCCCAAAACTTGGACCAGGAGCAGATTACCCAACAAGCAGGGTAAGCACAGGCTTACTTGTGCTTATTTAGTAATCATTAAACATTTTCAAATGTGAGATTGTTCACCACAGAGAAACACAAGTAAGGCTGTGCTTAGCTTGCTGAGTACTTGTTGCTTTCAGGGATTGTAAATTGGAAGAGAGGCTTTGACTGTGTAGGAAGGTGCTATGGGCTTGGAAGAGATGCAGATGCCGGCCATACTGAGAAGCCAAAACTTTGATAGGGGACTTTGGGTAAAAGTGAAATTGTTCTACAGATCGGTAAGCCCGTGCTTGCCTCGCTTATTGGAATAGGATTCAAAAAGGGATTGAAAAACCTAAAAACCTTGGCAGCTGTATTTTGAGCCGTGTTAAGACGTATTCAGATGTTTTCGATCTGTTAAAAGATTCTCAGAAAACACCATTCAGTGGTATGAAATAGGTGAACTCAACTACCTTGGAGGAAAAGAAATTTTGTTGTTAGGGGTCCTCCTGACATATATTCATTTGAGTTTGTTTATGTTGAAGCCAGTCATGAAACAAAGGAAATGGCCAACGCTTTAATTCTAACTCCTTATAATACTTTGCTGCCGTTAGTACAAAGCTGAAATTTATACAGGCGGTGCCTGCTTTGATGCAGGTACCTTCCCCATCCCCACGGTTGTGCAAATGCTTTTCTTTAACTGCTTTTCACCCAGATTCTAAATGAGAAGAAAAAAAAAAAAGCAACTACAAAAACTGTAATTGCAGGAAACATCCACAGCAAAGTGTGGCTTCTTGCATCTGCACAGAATATTCCAGGCCCCACTGACTGAAGAACTGCATTCGGCCTGCTGGTTGAGAACAGTGCCCGCACACACAAAAGCTCCCAAACCTAGCGGCTCTTTGCAGAGTCACCTTGGGGAGCTTTAGAAATCCTGATGGCCTGACTCCCCAGGTGATTCTAATCTGCAGCCAAGCAAGGGGACCACTGCGAAGCTGCCAACTTTGATGGCAATTGATGCCGTTGACAAAAGAGTGGCTTTATGATCTTTTGTGAGTTTTGCTTTTAAATCTACACTAAATTGAGCCAAAGAATTATCAAAAGGATGAATGGCACAATTGGTCGGTTGAGGCTTTTGTTCCCAGAATGACACAAAGGTGGCTGGGTGGGTCAGATAGCTGTGCCTTTGTGTCCAGTGGACCCAGGTGGACTCATATAATAGAATCCTCAGTTCTCAGATGGAAAGGAGTTATCTTGCCATTTGCATATACCAGACAAGGTGCTGGTCTATGATCAAGACTTTTCATGACTCACAGAGATGCATATGGCAGCAGGTTTGTGACTCGTATGTATGGATACACACGTCGGCATTTGTTATATTTTTTAAATTGTGTTTGCTACAGTCATTATAAGCAAAAAGCTTTCTCCTTGGATTTGTGGTGGATGTACCTCTTAAACTAATGAATGGCTCTGTAGAATATTATTGAAACATCCAAAGTAAGTGTAGTTATGAGTGTTTTGTTTTTCATTTTTCCCAGTTTCTAAATCACATTAAAAAGGAGCTTCAGAAAGTTCATTTAAAATTTTCATCAGCCCTTAATTCCCTTTTTCTACAAACTTTTTGAAGCTTCCTCCTTTATTTTGATTGTATTTTGTTATTTCCCATATATATATAT